TCGTGGGAGCCTTCTGAAGGCTTCTGGGGTTTGGGGGGAGGCCCTCAGGAGGCTTCTTGGGGGGGGAGAGCTCTTGGAGGCATGTTGGCGTTCTTTGGGACCATCTTGTGGGTTGTGGGGAAGGGCTCCCAGGGCCTCTGCGAGTTTCCCACTCATGGGGCCTTTCGAAGGACTTGTTGTCCGTCTTGGGGGCCTCGTGGAGCGTCTTGGGACCATCTTGCGCCGTCTCTGGGGCCACGGGGTCATCATGTCATGGCCACTCCTCCGTGCTCATGGCCACTCCTCCTGCCACTCCTACCATGCTGCCGCTGCTGCTGCTGCCCTCACCCGTCCCGCCCTGTTCTCTCCTTCCCCCTCCCTTAGTTGCCCTCTGCGCCTTCTCTCCCCATCATCCCGTTCCCTCGAGCCCTCCCCTCCCATGCCCCTCCCCCCTCTCTCGACCCCACCCCCTTCCTTCGCAAGATCGCTGCGGGGATGGTGGTCCGAAGTGCGCCCCGCAGGCGCCGCGACCAGGCTCCCCTGGTAGACGACGACGCCGAGCCGGCGCAGTCTCGGCCCCGCCCCCGCCCTCGTTCTTGCCGCTGCTGCTCGTGCGGGTGGCTCGTGGTGTACTGCTTCCGTCTCTGCTGCTGGTCCTGCTCGCAGCTGTTGTCGGGGGAGCCTTGGACTGCGGCCCCGTGCTTCTGCCCCCCTCTGTTGATATGTGTGCTTATTTTTTGTAACAAAGTAGAGTGATGCAGGCCCTCCTTTGGAGCGGGGGGGGCTGATTGAGTACGTCGTCGCGCCGCGTCGCGGGTGGCGTGGGTTCTTCGTGAATCGAGGAGGTGTTGGGTAGGCCTCGGGCAGGCCGTGGTCAGGCCGTGGGCAGGGCCTGGGTAAGCCTTGGGAAGGCCTTGGGTATGCCTTGGGTTGGCCCGCGGCAGGCCTGGGGCAGGCTTCGGGCAGGCCTTGGGCGGCCTTCGGCAGGCCATGGGTAGCTTGGGCAGGCCGTATGCATTGGCTCGGCAGCAATCATGGGAGCCTGGTATACCCTCCAAACTCCGTCTCTAGCGTCGATTAGCATCTGGGAGTCGGTGATATAGCGCCCATCCAGCGACGGCTAGCGTCGACCAGCGACCATTTAGAGTCGACTAGCGTCGATCGCAAGAGCCGACATGGTGGCATGGGAGGCTCCCACGAGTTGCAACCGAACCTTGGGGGGGATTGGGTAAATCTGGGCTGGGTAAGGGTAGGCCTTGGGTAGGGCTGGCCTTGGGCAGGTAGGCGTTGGTCAAACCTTCCGCTGGTTTTTGGGTCTGCCTTGGGCATGCTTTCGATACGCAGGCCACGGGTAGGCGTTGGATGGACCTTACGAGGGCATGTTGTAGGCTTAAGCAGGCGTTGGCTCGGCCCCGGGCAAGCTTGGAGTAGGCGTCGGGTCGGATTTGGGCAGGTTTTGGGCAGGCCCTAGACAGGCCTTCGGTGGGCTCGAGGAAGTTTTGAAGTCGCCCTTGGGCATGCCCACGATTAGGCTTGGGGGCCTGCCACCGCGAGTCCGTGCGCGCCTCCTCTGTCGAGGTTCTCGCGGACACGGGGATTTGGCTTGGGCAGCTACGCAAACGCTGGGGAGGAGGAGGGGGACGTCCGGCGCCCCCATAACTACACAAACAGCAAAACATATACACGGCGGGGCATTTCCCATTGCGATCGTTTTCTTGTCCGTTGTTTTGCCGAGCGGCGCGTGCCCCCAACCCCCCCTCCCACCCCCCCCAACGGAGTAGATCTTGGCTGTTTTGTTGGCGCCTGTTTCGGGCAGGTGGGGTCTCCCCCCATAGGACGCACTGCTGCAAGCAGTCGCACTAAGCAGAGGTCCAGAGCCAGACCCCTCCCCCCTCCCCCCCCCTTCCGCCCAGTGTCGAAACGCCAAATACAAAAGACTGTCACCTTCCCCTGTCTGTTTCGTCCTCCTGGACGCGCGAGGCCAGGCACCCTTCGACCACCCCGGTGCAGGCCGCCGCGCGAAAGGCTGCGCATCCTCCTCTTTCGAGACCTCCATCTCCTCCCAGTAGTTTTAAGTCGGGCACGTCCCCCTACAGGAGGAATATTCAAAAGTAGTAAGAAAATAGGTTGGGGACGATGTTCTATTATCTTTTGCCTATTTGTCAGTATTTGTTGAGCATTTTTTATTCTTCGTCCAAAATCCGCCTGTAGGAGGACATGCCCGACCTAACAGTAGTTTCAAAGACCTCGCGGCCCGCTTCGCCTTCTGACAGTCGTTGCTCTTCCTGGTTGTTGGGGTCACAAGAGGGCCATCGCCTTGCGTGGAAATTTTGGTCGTTGCTCACGTCGCACCGCCGCTGAGTGAGGACAACTCGGGCCCCCCGCTTACGTGGCGCGCGGCAGGTCACGCGTTGCAGAGTAATGGTATGGCAGTGTGATTCTGCTCGACGTGATCTGACTCGGCCCAACGTCGCTCCGCCGCCGCCGCCGCCCTTCCTCGCTCTCAATCCGCCTCGTCCTCACACTGCTTCGTCTTCCTCCTGGCCCATCCGCTCCTTGCCCCCCCTTCCTCCGAAATCGGAAGGCGTGGCGTTGGGGCGCACAGAGTGCTAACGGCGCAAAGCAAGCTGCGAGGGCATCGGATTCATGCGGAGTGCATGAGGGCGACCCCGGGGCGCGGAATTGATACCCACGGCGGCTTGCACGCCAAGTTCTACAGGGCCGCGCAGAGCGTGCGCAGCAATGCGAGGCGCGCCGGGCGATTCACTCGAAACCTGCGCCGCCGCTCCCGCGGCGCGGGCGCCGCCGCCGAGCTGGCGTGGCCGATCCAGGGCTTCCGAGGGCGTGTGGAGGCATCGAACGGCGAGGGTCGCTTCGAGTTGCCCGTCTGAGCGGCAGGCGCGGAAGCTTCAGTCGGGCGCGACTGCCGGGGCGGCGGCGGCGAAGAACGATGGCGGCGGCGCAGTGCGTTCCGCGGGGAAGAGCGGGCACGACTCAGATCTTGGCGCGCGCAAGTGTTGGCGCACCAGTGCCGCAATGCTAATGCATCCAGCGCGCGCTCATGCGGCGGCCGAGAGTCCGGCGCTCTGGCGCGGGAAGCCATCGAGCAATGCTGGCTCGAGCGGCACTTGGCGCGGGTGGATCCTTCCCCCGCGATGCCCAGTTGTCTCGGCAGGTGCTGGACCGGTTGCGCAGAGGGGGGGCCTCGGTCAGTATCTCGCCAGCGGTCGTTCCACGAGCACGAACTACAAGTGTTTGATCCACGCTCTCGCCACGGCTTCGGCCATCGACGGTGATTGGGCGCAGCCCGCGGTGCCGGCCTCGTCGGCGATCCGAATTACGTCGCATTTGATGCGCACGTGGGCGCGTCGTCCCGTTAGTTCGCGGCGCGGCGCGCGGTGGGCGGACCGCGGTCGAGAGGGGGAGCAAGAGGGGCGCCGCGAGGTTGACGAGGGCGCAGACGCCGCCCGCGTTTCTGGGTAGACGAAGGCCAGACTGTCAGACTGGATTGGGCCCCAAGGGCCAATCTGGCCTGGCCATATGGGAGGATTTGGGTTATTCGCCAGACTGGATTCGCGTTGGCTCCCTCGCCAGATTGCCCCCGTTTGCCAGATTGGGCCTGCCAGATTGGCGCCAGATTGGCTTCGACTACCCAGCGTCTGCATCTGCTCTTCGGCCCACCTCACGCCGCGCCTAGGTGGCATGTCAGAGGGCGTCGGGCGCCCGTGGGGATCTGCTGCGGGGAGAGCGTTTCGGGGAAACGTTTGGGGATGGCTTTGGGCCGTGGTCTATTGGGGGCCTCGCCCCCGCGGCTTGCGGGCGGCTGCCCGGGGGGTTCTCGATGGCGTGCCAGCGGTCTCGGGGGCCATCTTGCGGCGCGGGGCCCGAGATCTTGCTTCGCGCCCCCCCCGTTCTGGGTTCTGGACGCCCGAAATGGATACGGAAAGAATGGGTACGATGCCCAACAGCAGTTCCTGTTCATTTTGAACAGGACTCGCTGTCCGCGCCGCCGCGGCCTGTGTCCATTCGAGACAGAAGGCCGCCCGCCCAACAGCGGCCGCTGTTGGTTTGGGACAGCATTTGTTGTTGGGCATTGTACCCATTCTTTCCGTACCCATTTCGGGCGGCCCCAAAAAGGAGGAGGAGGAGGAGGAGGAGGAGGAGGAGGAGAGGAGGAGGAGAGAGGAGGAGGAGGAGGAGGAGGAGGAGGAGGAGAGGAGGAGGAGGAGGAGGAGGAGGAGGAGGGAAGGAGGAGGAGGAGGGGAGGAGGAGGAGGAGGAGGAGGAGGAGGGAGGAGGAGGAGGAAGGAGGAGGAGGAGGAGGAGGAGGAGGAGGAGAGAGAGGAGGAGGAGGAGGAGGAGGAGGAGGGGGAGGAGGAGGGCGTCCAAATGGGTGGCACGTGGACGAGCGCCGGGCAGCCTGGGCGCCTTTGTTGGCCGCGGTGCCTTCTTGGCGGCGGCACGGGGGCCCTCCTGGCCGCGGCAGGGGCTGCGGGGGACAGTCGAGGAGGCTTCCTGGGCCGTCTTGGAGCGCCCGGGGCCCGACTCCTCCTCCTCCTCCCTCCTCCTCCTCCCCCTCCTCCTCCTCCTCCTCCTCCTCCTCCTCCCCCTCCCCCTCCTCCCACTCCTCCCCCTCCTCCTCCTCCTCCTCCTCCTCCTCCTCCCTCCTCCTCCTCCTCCTCCTCCTCCTCCTCCTCCTCCTCCTCCTCCTCCCCCTCCTCCCCCTCCTCCTCCTCCTCCTCCTCCTCCTCCTCCTCCTCCTCCTGTTGCCACGGCGCTAACCCGCGTTGAATGACCGGTGCGGGTGAGCGATTTTGGTTTCGGGGGGTCTTCCCGGGAAAGCAGGCGGTGGTTTCTGGGGCCTCTGGGGCTGCTGCGGGGCCATGTTGGGCTGTTTTTTGTTGTGTGTTTGTGTTCTTGTTTCGTGCGTTCTTGGGCCGATCCGATGCCCTTCTGGACCACTTCTGGAGCCTCTTGGGGCCCCGCTGGCTGGCTTTGGGCCTGCTGGCTTCCGCAAGTGTTGGCGCGAACGCGCCGCGACGCGCGCTGCGCACGATGCAATTTGGCAACCGGGCTGCGCCATGTTCAACGCTCTGGGCCGAGGGCGGAATGCCCAATGGATAACCGAAGTCGATCCAACTCGCGTTTCGCGGCGCTCTGGCGGCCGTTGCCCGCTCGGGAGCACATCGTTTGGTGTCTTCGAACACGTTCGAAGACTGGGAACCGCTATCTGGTGGGGAGCGGAGGAAGGGAAGGGGGGAGGAGGAGGACGAGGACGAGGACAAGGACGAAGAGGAGGGGGCTGTGTTGGAGGAAAGGGAGGGCGGGGTTAATCATAATAAAGAAGAGGCGGAGGAGGAGGAGGAGGACGAGGAGGCGGCGGAGGAGGAGAGGAGGACCCACCATGCGTTTGCGTGGTCGTTTCGGCTGCTGCGCGTCGCCCAGTGACAGGTGCACCTATTGCACTTCGATCGTTGTGCCGTTTTGTCAAACATAATGGAGCACTAGGGGGAGTAGCAGCACATGTCGCATACGTACGCAGTCAATGTATCGTTGGGCCTGTCGTGTGGTCTGCAATGCGGTTAGCCACTAAATCACGAATCCGATGCTCACTAGCATTTGCAGCGGACTACGACTGCAGCATCCATATGTGGTACAATTCGCACTGCGACCAGCAGCACGGTTTGCACCAAGATCCGCAATATCACGTGTAGTGGGATCGGGCGCAAGGCGTGTACGTGGATGGCCCGACGGATATGTACGGCCAACCGTACGCACAGTAGGAGCAGTGACATGTTCGGGCAAGGATGTGCAATGGGATACGGGTTAAGATGTGTCGGATGATGCGCATGGGCAAGCGCACCACTGACAGTAAGGGGCTTTGTCGCCGAAGACGTGTGCCGATATGTGGTACCGTACGTTGCCAATTGTGTGGTTGCACCAGTTGTACGAAATCTTCACAACACGAGCAGCGTGACTTGTCGTATGATATGAAGTAAGACGTGTCGGAGGATGATGGGTATATTGTGCAGCAACATTAGTTGCGATATCTGCTGCAGCGCGTGCTGTATGTTACCCAAGTGTATGTGCCAGGAAATGGTCGGGACGGTACTCAGTACGATTTGTAATCGGACCCATCGTTCGCCCCGTGAGCAACGGTATGATACGCAGTCGGAATTGGGTTTAGGGTTTAGGGTGTAGGGTTTAGCAATATCCGTAGTATGGTCCGTCGTAAGATATGAGGTGGGATGTGGGATATGCATCAACACCGGAAGCCGGAATGTGAGCAGGAATTGCAGTCGAATGGCTTGCTGTTAATCAGATATGCAGTCGTGAGATGGGATGCGCGACGTCGTTGGCCCCGCTCCGCTGGCGAGGTGAAACACGTTGCTTGCTAACCCCCCCACGTTTCCGACACAACACAACTGTTTGTTTCGATTGATTTTGTTGTGCGTCCGCGGTGACGTCGCGGCGCATCGGGGGGAGGGGTTGACCGGCGGGCGGGGGGGTTGAACGGATCCGCAGTCTTGGATTATGTCTTGTTTTGTATGTTGTTGTTTCTTGTGTCGTCCGGTGTCGCCCGCTGATCACGATGATGTTTCTGCCGCTGCATATTCGTTTGCTCCCTCTCTTCCTCTCTCCCTATCTCTCTCTCTCTCTATCTCCCTCTCACTGTTACAGGGCATGTCGATGCTGATTGCGTCTGCTGCTGCTCCATATTATCATTCATTTTCGTCCTCTCGTCCTGATCCTCACTCTTCCTCATCTTTTTTTTCCGCGCAATCCCCATTATGGCTTTTTGGGGCCAAGTTATCCACCGCCATATCGCTTCACACTGGTTTCTTCAATCCTGATCCTCTTGATCTTCGCCGTCGTCGTCATCCTCCTTTGCCCCGCGACATTTGCAACGTACTGCGTCGCTCCACGTGCGTGATGAGTTTTCCAGTGTTCTTAAAGCCTTGGCGGTGCCTGTGTGCGGTGCATCGACTTGGTTTTGCATTCCTTTCCGTACAGCTATTTCTTTACCGTGCAGATATCTCATTCGTGTCTGCATACGTCTAGCCTCAGTTCCCCTCCTCTCCCTCTCCCATCGTCCTCCATCCTTCTGTCCTATTCTCATCGCTCCGCTCCCACTTTATTGCGTTTCCCCCCAACCGTCGCCCTACCTGTCTGTCATTATCACTCGTGCTCGTCCTTTTTGTTTGTTCTCTCCCTCTCCCTTTCTTTCTGTATCTCTGTGTCCGGCTGTCTCTGCATCTACATGTGTACATATATATATATATATATATCGATAATTCTCTTCCTTTATCAAACTGTCCCCCTCGTTTGTATCGTTTCTCTCTCTCTCTCTCCCTCTATATATATATATATGTGTGTTGTCTCTGTGTTGGATGCCTCTCGCTCTGTCTCTCTCTCTCTCTCTTTCTCTGTCTCTCTCTCTCTATATATCTCTCCCCATCGCTCTTTCTCTCTCGCTCTGCCTCTCTCTCTCTCTCTCTCTCTTTCCCTCCCTCTGCTTATTTCTATTTACGTATATCTGAATTATGTTATCTCTCTCTCTTTCTCCCTCGTTCTTAACATTGCTATGCTGTATTAGTTGTGTGGTTTATATTTCCCTGCCTCTTTCTATATGTATACACGTGTGGTTCAAGGGAAGCTTTTGGCTCAAGGTGGCTCAAGCTTGGCTCAAGCGAGCTGGGGCCCCTCTTCTCCACTTCATCTCCAGAGATCCCAGCGGTACATGGCATGCCTCGGCGCCGACGCCATCGCGGACATCATCCGCGTAACGGTGGCCGCGGCGGTGCAGGGCACGCTGCACGCGCAGACGGGGCTGCGGCCGCTGCGGCAGGGGCAGCAGCTGCCGCCCCAGCAGCAGCCGCCCGAATGGGCCGCGCCGAAGCCCGTGCTGCGGCTGCGCCCGAGCCGAGCGCCGCTCGCGATCGAGCTGGAGGAGGAGCCGGAGCCCACGGTGCTGCTGCGCCCGAGCGGCGCGCCGACCGCGGTGGCGCTGGGCTCGCCGCAGCGGGAGCCTCTGCCGATGCCCGTCAAGCCGAGGCCAACGGCGGTGGACACAGCGCCCCGAGGGGACGCTCCCCCTGGGCGCTGGACGCCGCCACGGAGCAGGAGCCCGAGCTGGAGGCGCTCAGCAGCGGACGCGGCCGGGCAGGCGGCGGCTGACCCGGAGGTGCACCAGAAGGCCGACCACGGAGACCATGCCCATGGCGACGATTGTCAAAAACAATATGCTGCCCGGGAGGCCCCAGAGGCGCTCTGGGCGCCCTTCGGATTGGAGCTGCATCCGCTGGGCATTGACCTTGCCCCCCCCCGCCGCGGGAAGCGAGACCGCGCTCGCCGAGGATCCGCAACGAGTGGAGACCAATGACGACGGCGAGAGGGGGGATGATCGCGTCACGACGTCGCCCACAGCTGCCGCGGGCGCGCGCAGCCTCGAGTACATCCTGGTGCTGGCTGAGGTGCGGAGCTGGCACGAGGAGGGCGGGATGACGCTGCCGGACATCCACGCGCGCCCGGTGAAGGAGGCGGCCCAGCATCAAGCGCAGGGCGCAGCGCAGCGCGACCGTGCACGTCTTCGTCGAGGCGTGGCATGCGCCATGGCAGCGCAGGCCATGCGCGAGCGCGGCCTCGCATAGTGCGAGGCAGGTCCCCCTCGAAACGCAGAGGGGTCCTGTTCTTGACGGGTGGGCGCTTGCTGCTTCGCTGGGCCCGGCGGCGGTTCGCTCTGGGCTGAGGCTCAGACCGCCCGGCGGCGCTGCTTCGGCGTGCGTGGTGGGCCCCCCTCGGCGAGGAGATCTACTTCTGGCCGCCCGCTGCCATCAAGTCCGTCTTCAATCTGGACTTCATCGGTGTCTTCGAGCCGCGGCCTAGAGGGCTTCTAGGGTCGCTCGCCTCTCTGCCTGTTCTCGCTTCATTGGTTGGGGGATATTCCTGTGTTCGCGTTTATTTAATCGCTTCGCTCATTCCGCCGGCCCATACAGTCTCATGTCTGCCGTTTGCCCGAGGGCCTGGTGTCAATGCGGCGCTTTGGGGGTTCCTGGGGCCGCTTGGGGGACTCCTGGGGCGCTCGGGGGGGCATTTGGGGGGCCTCCTGGGGCCGCTTGGGGGACTCTTGGGGGCCTCCTGAGGGCCCCGTGGGGGCCTCTTGGGGCCTCTTAGGGGCCTCGTAGGGGCTTCTTAGGGCCGAGGGCTCGAAATGTTGTTTCGTGTTCCCTCTCTGGGGCCCCTTTGGGGGCGTTCTTGGGGCCCTCTTGGACCGTTTTGGAGGCTTCTTGGGCCGTCTTCGAGCCCTCTTGGGCCATCTTGGGGCCCTCTTGGGTGCCTCTTGGGCCCTCTTGGGGCGATCTTGGGGGCCTCTTGGGCCGTCTTGGGGCGTCGGGAAGCCGAAAAGGTGGAAGCTCCAAAATCTCTCAAAAACCTATGGAAAAACAATGATTTTTGCCTCCGGGGGCCCTATTGGGAGTGCTCTTGGAGGCCTCTTGGGGCGTCTGGGGGCTATCTTGGGCGTCTTGGAGCGATCTTGTGGCATGTCGGACCCCTCGTGTACCATCTTGGGGGCCTCTTGGGGGCCTCTTGGCCTTTCTTGGGGCTCTCGGGGACGTCTCGGAGCCCTGTTGGTGCGCTCATGGAGCGCTCGGGGGGACCCGGCCGGGACCTGGTCGGGGTACTTTTCGTCCGGGGACCCCCAGGGGCCGCCCCGCGCGCGCGAACTAGAAAATTGTTAACCAGTTACCGGAGATCTTAGCACGCCTCTGGCCCGTTGGGCCGGCGAATTATAAGAGCTTTTCCTTCTTCCCCCCTCCTGTCTCGGGCCCCCCGTCAGCTCATCGCTGGCCCGGTGCCGCGCGCCCGCCGAATGCTAGCACGCGTTGCCCTCGCAGCCCTTCCTGCGCCGCTCCAGCCGCCCCTGCAGAGGTAGCATCCACTCGGCTCCAAGCGCCCGCCGCCGTTACGACAGGCCCGCCGCCGCTGCGACAAATCCGGGTATTGGTTTTCTGCTTCCCGCGCTGGCCCGTGTGATGAGTGCATCGGTTGGTGTATCGTCGCGCCTTCTCCCTTCGCCTCCTCCGCCCCCCTCTCCAAAAAAATGCATATGTATACGCGTGTATGTATCTATGTATCGACCACAGTATGTATATATGTCTTTGTGTCGGTCTCTGTCACCTTCTCTCTCTCTCTCTCTTTCTAGTTCTCTCTCTCTCTCTCTCCCTCTCTCTCTCTCTCGCTCTTTCTCTCCCTCTCTCTCTATAGACACGTGAACATGCACATGCATCGACGACGTGCATGTCGAACCGCCGCCGCCCCCTGCCACTTTGAAGTGCCTACGTGGCCCACCGTTGGGCCGAACTCCTGCAGTCGTGGAACCCTGTAGGACTCCTTGGGGAGGAAGGGGAGGAGACGGAGAGAGAGGAAGAGCGAGGCAGAGGATGCCTCCTGGTGGCCTGATGGGGCCCCCCGGGGGTTTCGTGGGTTGGGGCCCCCTGGGGGCCGCCGACGGTTTTCGGAGGTATCCTGGAGGTCGTCGGGGGGCTTTTAGGGGCTCCTTGGCCTTCGGAGACTGTTTTGGGGGTCTCATTGGGCCCGGTTGGGCCCAGGTTGGGACTATTGAGGACCGTCTGTGATCGGGGGGTTCACTTGGCTCATCGTGGGGCCTTTTTTAATTGACATCTGGGGCCGTCTTGAGATTCTCTTGAAGGCCTGCGGGGCCGCCTCCGGCTGTCTGAAGCCCATTCATGCGAGAGGGCTGCAATCGCTCAAGCGCCATCGGCAGACAAATGCATTTGTCTCTTCGGGCCTTCCGTGATGGCCTTTTGGAGCCCGCTAAGAGCGTTTTGGAAGCGTGGGCCGCCTTGGAGTCGTCTTGTCCGCTTTGGAGGCAACGCGCGTTGTCCTTGAGGCGTCTTTGGCAACCTTGGACCTTTCAGGGCAACCTCGGACCTTTCAGGGCAATCGCCGACGGGAGATGTACTTGTCAAGTGGCCAGCGGGCTGAGTCAGATACACTGTTTGTTGGAGGGCCTTAGTGGGCAGGGCCAACCTCCGCGCGCCAAGCGCGCCTTTTGCAATGAGAAGGGGGCGGCGTACCTATGTATATGTATCTCCATTAATTTGTGTGTAAATATAGCTGCGTGGGGCCCGTTTGCGGGGCGTCTGTCTGTGGGGCCGTTGGCGTTCGATTGAGGCATTTGAGGATGTTGATTGAAACGTCGTTGGTTTGTGGTCTGCTCGAGACTTCGCGAGCTAGTCGGACGCTGGAGCTGTGCAGGGGGTGAGAAAACGAGGAGAGCAGCTACTTTAAGATGCAGCAAGAGATCACCCACGCCCCAGGGAATAACGACAACGGCCGTTTCCGACTGGGCGACCGCGACAAGAGAGTGCGCTAGCTTGCCCTGGTGGTTCTTGCTGGCGAAGGGCATGCCTGTGGTTTTCGGAAATCACTCGCGGTCGAGCAAGCAGCGCCTACGGGAATGAGCAGCAACGATTATCGGGTGGGCGTTGTGCGAGAATGAAGGCGTGGGAGACCAAAACTAGGCGGTGGCGGTGCACATGCCGAGTCAGCGTTGGGCGCCCATGCGAGCGAACGGCACTTTCCAAATTGCGAGTTCGAGCTGCAACCAAGATAACATTCGAAAAGGCACCAGCGACTCTCGGGCGGGCATAGAGAGACACCCGCGTTCGGCGCGAAACGCATTCAGTTGAAGATTGCGCCGCCGTCGGCGGCGACGGCACACGCCGCGCGAGGGCGGACAATGGGCGCTGCAATGACGAAAGGACGCGGCATGAGCTGGATGTTCGTCCACGCAGCAACGCCTGCGTGCGATTGCGGGAATGCCGATGTTTCGTTCTGGAACTGCGCAATGAGGGCGAGATGCTTGGCGCGAGAAAAATCCATGGAGGTTGGAGCAAGCACGGGAGGCGAAATTGTTGCCAAAAACGAATGGGGCCAGCGCGCGCGGGGTGGTGTTGGAGCTACCACGCGTTGATGAAGTACCCAGCTGCCTGCGGCAAGCCCTGCCGCCGCGCCCGCGCAACAACGACGCGGGAGGAGACCTTGTGCGGGAACGGCGCAATTCTTAGAACCGGCACGAGGAGCACTGGTCGAGTCCGCGCCCCGCGGCGCATCAGCGAGCGGTCTGATGTGGGGGCGGCCGCGACCCCGACGCCGTCTTCGCCCACGCGCGGCAGAGAGGGGAAGGAGGCGGAGAAGGAGGAGAAAGAGGAGGAAGAGGAGGAGGAGGAAAGATACGACGATGAGGAGGAGGAGGAGGAGGAGGAGGAGGAGGAGGAGGAGAAGGATGAGGAAGAGGAGGAGGAGGGGACAGGGAGGGGAGGGGGAAAAGGTGGGAGGTAGGGAGGGAGTAAACGAGGGAAGAGAGAGAGAGAGAGAGAGAGAGAGAGAGAGAGACCACAAACACATGAGGGTGAGTTCGAGAAAACTATTTGGGGCCCTGTTGGGGCCTCCTGCGGGCATTTTGGGGCCTCTTGTGGGTCTCGTGGGCCGTCTTGGGGGGGCGATTGGCCCGTCGGACGCGTTCGGGGGCCGCCTTGGGGGCTTCTCTGCTGCGTCTTGGCGCCCTCTTTGAACGCGTGGGGGCCGTCATAGCGGACCCCGTGGGTAATCTTGAAGCCACCGTGGAATCCCATGGGGCCATCTTGGGCGGTCGGAAACCAACTAGGGAACTAGGGGAGAACCCCAATATCTTTCGAAGTCTCCCAGGGGGTCACTGGCTGTGGCCTCGTTTGGTTTTCCTGGAGGGTTTCTTGGGGCCCTCTTTGGGCCGTCTTGGGGTCCTCTGGGCCGTCTTGAGCCGTCTTGAGAGCTTTATGGGCCGTCTTGCGCCATCTGGATCCGCTTGGGCGCCGTCTTGGAACCCATCTTGGCGGAGCGGAGGCCGACTCGACGTTCGGGCAGCGCGTGCGGTCCGGGGGGGAGTATAGAACGCAGGAACATCTCACAACAACAGACCAGCATTCTAACGCGCTCGCTCCTTGCAGGCTCGGTGGCGGATGAGTTTCGGACAACGCGGGGCGCCGCCTGCATGGGGCGCGCGGAGGGAATGCGACGCGCGGGCGAGAGGTTGTGCGAGACGCGCGACACGTGGGCAGTGCAAGAGGGCGGTGGCGAAGTGAAGCGTCGCGGCGCAGACGGTCGAGGAAGTGGGCGGCGCGCCGGAGCCGAAAACCGTTCGGACCGCGCGTCGCGCGAAAGGCAACCATGTGAAAAGGGAAACGGGGCACGCGCAGAGGCAGCGCGAAATGGACAGGAATGCAGGCACAGCGCGGTGTCCGAGCCGCAAACGCAATGCGTTTACCGAAGAAAAGCCAGATATATCGGTGGCGCAGATCAAACGCAACGAAGCTGGAGAAGGGCTGCGTCGGAAATGCGCACGGGGGCGCCGTGCGCCCGCGCTTTGAGCCGAACTGCCGCAAGAGGGAGGCAGAGGGTGGAAGCGACGCCGCCGCGGTGCTCTGCGCCAGGCTGCGGGGCGCGCTTCAGGGGCGCAGGTCATCTGAGCCAGAACCACGTGGATATTCACTTGAAGGCGGAAGGAACCTGAGTGGCGCGCAGGGGTTGTAGCAGGCGCGGCATCACCGCGAAAGGAGTGGCCCATGCGGCAAAGCGAATTCGGGCGAGAGTTGGCGCACGCGGCGCGCCCGCAAAAGTTCTGGCGACAAACGAACACCTGCCCCAAACAAGAAGAGCACCCCTTTCCATAGTCACGCGGGAACGGCGCGCGCATGCTGCAAGGACCTCGGGCTCAGCGTCTTGGAGACCTCTTGGGCCGTCTTGGGGGCCTCTTGGGGCCGTGTCTTGGGCCTCTTGGGCGATCTTTGGGGGCACTTGGACCGTCTCGGGCCGTCGGAAGGCAGAAAAAAAGCAAGTGCCAGAATCCTTCAAAAACCCATGGGAAATCAATAATGTTGGCCGTTTGGGCCTCCCCCCTCTCGCGCGGTCAATCAACTAGTTACAGTAACCAGCAATCAGTCAACTAGTTACAGTAACCAGCAAGAAGCAGAACTGCAACACTGGAAACTACAAGCTACAACTGGTACAGGAAACTGCGAACCTCGCTCCTGCAGCCTGGTGGCCCCACAAGGGGGCTGGCGGATATTTGGGATTGGGGACTCTTGAAGACATGAAGACACTCCACTCTGTGCCTGGCTGCATGTTGGTGGATGTGTTTGATGTCTAGATGCGCTTTTTACTTGTTATACGTATACATACACATTCAAATGCTTGGTGTCTATCGGTCTTTCTTTCTCTTTCTCTCTCTCTCTCTCGTTCTCTCTCTCTCTCTCTCTCTCTATGTACAAATGTAGATTATATATTTATCCTGCCGTCCCTGCCCCTCTCAGACACCTGTCAGGGACGATCGTCTACCCAATGGACATACTATCCTCCTGGTGCCGCGGGGCAGGGTATCAAGGAGTGGGTGGGTAGCATGCGCGGCTATTCTCGAAGAGTGAGGAGGGCGGGAGGGGGGAATGTGGAGGAGGACGGGGAGGGCCTCGAGATGTGAAAAAGCTTGCCCGAGAGCGCGACAACGAAGAAGACCATCACCACGACGAGGACCAGGAGGAGCGAGGAGGAGCGGGAGGAAGGGAGCAAGCTCACCACAGGAGGAGGAGGAGGAGGAGGAGGAGGAGGAGGAGGAGGACTGAGAGCAGGCCGAGGGAGACAGGGACAGGGATAGCCAGGGGAGCCACTTGTAGCGAGGGGGGGTGTGCGAGCGGGGGGGGGGACGGAGGGGACCAGGGGGTGGCAAGAGAAGGAGCACGAGGAGTCGGGAGCCTCGAGACGGGGGTCGATGTAAACGGGGGTCAGCCAGGGCGCTGGATCTTGCAGGATCCTGCAAAGCCTGGGCTGCACTGACCCAGGCTTGCACGCAGGGTCCTGCAGGATCTTGCAGCATCCTGCAAAGGACGACTGGCCCTGGTTGGCATTGACCCGGGTCAGTGCCTCCCCGAGAGGAGGCGGGGAGGAGGAGGAGGAGGAGGAGGAGGAGGAGGAGGACTGAGAGCAGGCCGAGGGAGACAGGGACAGGGATAGCCAGGGGGCCCACTTGTAGCGAGGGGGGGGGTGCGAGCGGGGGGGGGGGACGGAGGGGACCAGGGGGTGGCAGGAGGAGGAGCAGGAGGAGTCGGGAGCCTCGAGACGGGGGTCGATGTAAACGGGGGTCAGCCAGGGCGCTGGATCTTGCAGGATCCTGCAAAGCCCGGGCTGCACTGACCCAGGTTGCACGCAGGTTCCTGCAGGATCTTGCAGCATCCTGCAAAGGACGACTGGCCCTGGTTTGCATTGACCCGGGTCAGTGCCTCCCCGAGAGGAGGCGGGGAGGAGCAGGTGGAGGAGGAAGAGGAGGAGGATGACCAGTGGAAATCCAAGAGTCATCAACGATGTTTGAAGTAACCCTCCTTCCAAGCTCCTTCTTCACAGGCCCCTACAAGGGCTCATTCCCGTTGAGGGAACTGCCTCGTTGGAAGACAACAGTTTGAAGATCGTGCCAAAACATTACCATCTGGATTTCAACGCCTCGTATCAACCTGACTGCTGCGTCTTGACGATCCAGAACCGTGCCAGAACGCCATTAGTGGGACTCCAACACAGCGAATCAACAGAATCCCGAACCCTTCCAAAACGCAATTTTTGATACGCTGATCATGGAAATCCGTGAAACCCTTGGCAACTGTTTAAATCGAATGTGCGCGGCGCTAAGGCGAGAGCCACATCTTGAAAACTACCCGCCCTCAATCCGTGAAACTCCTACAAAGTTTTAAAGCGAATCTGCGCGGCGCTACGGCTAGAGCCACATTTTGAAAACGACCCGCCCTCAATCCGTGAAGCTCTGGCAAATGTTTAAAACGAATGTGCGCGGCGCTGAGACGAGAGCCACATTTTGAAAACGACCCTCCCTCAATGTGTGAAGTTGTTGCCGCTTTCTAGCTTCAGCATCATAAATGGTGAGGAAGTCTCAGGCGAAACGCCCGGCCCGCCCTAAATGGAGGGACGAGGGGCGAGGGAGGAGGAGGGCACGAGGGAGGAATGGGGGAGGGGGGGAGGGACGAGGGGCGAAGGGCGAGGGGCGAGGGACGGAGGACGAGGGACTAGGGACGAGGGACGAGAGACGAGAGATGAGGGACGAGGGACGAAGGACGAAGACGAGAGACGAGCGTCGGGGGATGAGGGACGAGGGACGAGGACGAGGGACGAGGGACGAGGAGCAGGAGGAGCAGGAGGAGCAGGAGGAGCAGGAGGAGCAGGCGGAGCAGGCGGAGCAGGCGGAGGAGGAGGAGGAGGAGGAGGAGGAGCAGGAGGAGCAGGCGGAGCAGGCGGAGCACGAGGAGCGGGAGGAGCAGGCGGAGCAGGAGGAGGAGGAAGAGGAGGACCACAGGGTCTAAGTCAGCCTGCGCGAGGGGCCAGGTGCAATTCCGAAAGGTGGCTTCGAGCCGCACGTGCCCGCCCTTGCTGCGGCCTCGCCTTGCCCCAGCTGCCGCATTGGCCAGACTGTAACGAACATCGCAAACTTACAGCCAGGGGGTACCTCCAATGTTGTTTGACTCCACCCCGTGCGCGCCATAATTGAGAAGTTGAGACTGCGACCGACAGGCAATACTCGCCGCACCCAGCTTTAACTTCAGGATAGCAAGTGGACGAGGTGCAGCTTCTTCTGCAGGGTGTCATCGAGCGCGACCTGTGACGGATAGAATATTTGACGTGTTGTTTGGTGTTGTTTGTCATCTCTGTGCAAGTCCAGTGGCAAGGAGAGGGAGAGGCATTCAGCTTGTGGGAGGGGAGGGAGGGGAGGGAAAAAAAAGGGCGGGAGATGAGAGGGAGGAAGGGAGGGACGATAGTTAGAGGGGAGCCCACGGAACAAGCGGATGATGTAGGAGAAACCCTAAGAGTCTGCTTATATGAGGGAGTTTCTGTGGAACTCACGTCATCCTGACCCCCGGCGCGCGAGAACGTCGCCTCCCAGCGCACGCCCAGACCCCATGTCCAGGGATGCACCGGGCGCGCCGGGCGTGTCCCAATCCGGCGCCCTCGCTCGAGACCTCCTCGCAAACATCACCCCACGGGCTCCTGGCGCGGCCCTATAGGGACCATTTCCAGAGATGCACCGGGCGCACCGGGCTTGTCTGGCGCCCTCGCTCGAGACCTCCTCGCAAAAACCCCACGGGCCCCTGGAGCGGCCCAATAGGGACCATTTCCGGGGATGCACAGGGCGCACCGGGCGTGTCCCTCGCAAAAATCGCCCCACGGGCCCCTGGCGCGGCCCTAGGGACAATTTCCCGGGATGCACCGGGAGCGCAGGGCGTGTCCCAATCCAGCGCGCCTTGCCACCTTCTCCGCCCGCGTGCGTTGGGTCCTCGTTGTCATCGACGTCTTGATCCTCGACGTCCCCTCTCAGCCTCATCCCGCCCTCCTGATCCTCACCGTACCCTCCTGATCACCACCCTCCTGGTCCTTACCCTTCTGATCCTCACCCCCATGATCCTCTTTCTCCTGATTTTCGCTCTCCTCACCCTCACCCTCCTGCCTCACGATCCTGATCCTCACCCTTCTCATGCTCATTCTCATGATCCTGATCCTCGCTCTCCTCGTGATGCTCACTCTGCCGATCCTCACTCTGCTGATCCTCCCTTTCCTGCACACTCGCCCGGTCCTCACCCTGCTGATCTTCTTTTTCTCATCTCGGGGGCGGAAAAGAGGGGGGTGATGACTAGGGGGGGGTGGATATCATGGCGCGGGCCATGATATTTCCCCAGATTTCATGGCGCCTCTTCTTATTTCATTACGTCCCTGGCCCCCCCGCTGGGCCGCGCACATGCCGCCGGTCATGATTTGCACCCCCCCCTCTTTGGCGCCCCCCTCTTTGCCGCTCCCGATCATCCTCAGTCTCCTGTCCCTCATTCTCCACACCCTCACCTACCTGCCCCACGCTCTCCTGATCCTCACCCGCACGACCCTGATCCTCCTCCTCGCGGGCCTCGCCCTCCTGATCCTCACCCTCCTCATCCTCACCCGCCGCCCCACCGCGTCCCGCTCATTCACCTCTCGCCCAGAAGCGCGCGCTCCTCCCTCCATTTACAGAAACTCCCGATCAACCGCAGATCGGCCGGCTAGTAATTTCTCCTCGTCCTCCTTTCCCTTCTCTCCTCCTCGTCCTCCTCCTCGTCCTCCTCCTCGTCCTCGTCCTCCTCCCCGTCCTCCTCCTCCTTCTCCTCGTCCTCCTCCTCCTCCTCGTCCTCCTCCTCGTCCTCCTTTCTCCCTTCCTCCTCCTCAATCCCCTGGCCCCCAGGGCGACCCGGAAAGACCAAGCACCTCCAGAATACCCCAGGCAGCATAACATTTCCGCTTGTTCGTCCTTCGTCCTCGTCCTCCTCCTCTTTTTCCTCCTCTTCTTCCTTCGTCGTCCTCCTCCTCCTCCTCCTCCTCCTCCTCCTCCTCCTCCTCTTCCTTCGTCCTCGTCATTATGTTTCTCCTTCTCCTCCTTCGTCCCCGTTCTTTTTCGTCCCTCGTCATCGCCCTCGTACTCGTCCTGTTTCTGCCTCATCTTCTTCCTCCTGCCTCTGGCCTCCTCCTTTTGGGCACGCCGTGCGATGGCCACGGAGTCGCCGCCTTGAGGTATTTGGAGTATGATTCGCTCTCGGAGGGCATGGACGGCCTGTGCCAGCTGTACGAGCAGGCGAGGCCGTAGGAGAAGGAAGAGGGAGGAAGGGTGGAGGAGCAGGGAGGATGGAGGGAGGTGGCATCTGATCCTTCCCCGTTTGCTCGTGTGTACTCCTCTTGGCATTGGTAATGGTTCTCCTTCGTCCTGCCTTCTCCTATCCTTGCCCTCCTCGTCGTCTTCCTGCTTCCGCTCCTCATCCTTGTCCTGCTCTTCTCCTCTTCCTGAACTCTCCTTTCCCGTGTCCCTTCCCCCCTTCCCCTCCTCCTCACGCATTTGCCCGACGTCATGCCCATGCAACTGCGAGACTGCAGTCAAACCGCCCCCCATCCTCTCCCTCCCTCCCTCCCTCCCTCCCTCCCTCCCTGGTGTTGTGCTCTCACGTCCCTGGGGTTCCTCGAGAACTTGTGTAGGCCATCTCAGGGGTGGACCTGAACGGTGTTTCGGCGATTTCGTGGGCCGTTTTCGTTTCGAGCTTGTGTTGCGTTAAAGGCGGATTGAAGACAACACGAGGGAAAACGAACACAACGAAACCGAGTCACACCGCTTAGGTTCAGCCCTGGGCCATCTTGTAGGCATCTACGGAGGGACCAGCCCGTGTTTCGACATCGTCTTCGAGGGCCTCGCGGTACGCAGGCACTCAGCCCAGGTCAGGGACCGCATCAGGACCGTGACCTGCTGTGGGTTGGGCACTTATCCAGGTGCTCTTCCTTTGTGGAGGACGATCAATGGAGAGGAAGCATGCTGCCAACTAATTTCCAGATGTCTAAAGCATGGGTTAAACATGCTTTAAACATGTAAAAGCATGTTTAAACCATGTTTAGAACATGTTCCGACAGTTTCAAGGGTAGGACTGTTGGGGTGTCCATTGTCGTGGCATCCACAACTCTACCTGTGGGACATCTGGTGGACGAGTTCTGCCCTTCATGCTACCAAGTTTAAGCATGGTTTCCAGCCGCTCTTGTTGGGCCCTTCCAGTGTGAGCAGGAGGCGACCGAGCTTGTGGATTGTGAAGACTGTGACATTTTAGTTTTCACGACCTGACTGACCATACGGGCTGGAGGCTGGTTTGGTGACCAGCGACTAGTTAAGACGAAGATCAAACAGGCGTTGTCAGAGTGTTTCGATAGGCCGACGCCTCTTGCTGCCCTATCAGATATGTGTTGAGCCTTCGACGTGCACTCGAAAACGGAGCGACACCTGGCAGAGGGCAAATACAGATGGCCCGATTGGGCCACGTTCAAGCTGAATTAGTTGCATGATTTGCATACCCATCCTCGCCGGCAGCTGCTGTCGTATCCCAGACGGCGGTGCGATCGAAGCATGGTTCTGTGGCCTACGCCGCACCGCCGACGATCTGGAGCCCCCCAGGATCTCTCCGACTGCCGATTCGAAACGTCCCGCAACCTGTCCTCGCCCAGCGGCCCCAACAGGCAAGCAGCGCACTCGCGGCGAAGAGGAGCAGCAGGTGGCCTGGAAGCCCCCGCAGAGCTCCCCTCCCAGGGGAGCTCTGGGGGTCCTCCTCCTCCTCCTCCTCCTCCTGGTTCACTGGGGCTTGGGCGGTCCCCCACACGGCAGCACTGTTCTGGAGACCCCCCAACCCACAAATTCTCACCTGGAACCTACCAACGGCCCCTCCGCACCCACCCCCCCACGGCAGCTCTCTTCTTGGGACCCCCCAACCTACATATTCTCGCCCGGAACGTACCAACGCCTCCCCCCGCCCCCACCACGCCCGGGCCCCCCCCCCGCCTCCACCGCGCCCCCGCACCCCCACCCCACACGGCAGCTCAGTTCTTGCTGGGACCAAGGGGATGCTCTTCAAAAGAAGATGAGAGTACGAAGTCTTGGGTCCCCTTTTGCTGACCCATGCCGACGTGGGCCGAAGCTTGAGCAACTCAAGTGCTTCCTTATTGCAAATAACTATGGCACAGGCCTTACGGCCAGCGCCGCCGACCCTGAAGGCGGGACTTGTACCGGGAACCCCGCTGGCGACCTCCCCCTGGGACTTTTCGGGGGAGGTATTGTGACATTATGACCACTTCCCCCCCCCGCTCCTCACCCCCCACTCCTGGCAGGGGATTGATCAAATTGAAGGGGCCTCCTTCCGATTTAACGACGACGCTCCTGCTGCGAACTGCCCAGCTCAAGGCTAAGTTATTGTGATGGGCCGCTTGCAAGTTCGCGCATCGAGATCGTGAGTCCGGCCGCCCTGATGTGTTGTACAGGCCCCTGACCGAATGTTGTCCCAAGCTCGCGCGCACGCATAAAGCACGGTACGGCTAAAAGAGGGGTCGCTGCGATCCATGGCGAACCACGAAAAACCGCTCCGACCCCGACCTTCGGCGTTTGCCAGACGGCCCCGGGCCTCTACTAAGCAGCCCCGCCCTGTTCGATTCCATCCTTGGGTGCGTTTGCTGGAAGGTTTCGCTTGACGTGGTGCTTATTCTGGGGGTGGTTGTTCTGCTGTTTACATCAGCCGTAAGGTCGCGCGGAAGCGCCTTCGTTTCCAATGTAGCGCGCCGCGCTGGCGGCCAGCGTGAGCCGCCGCGGAAAGATCTTATGTCGTCTCGCGCAATACCCGTTCTAGATTGTCGCGCGCGAGCGCCCCGTTTCCAGCAGAGGCCCAGGGCCAAACCGTACCAGAGACTGCAGGCGGTTCCTCGAGCTCAGCCCGGCGCGCTTCAGGCGGCCCTTCGAGGGGCCGCCGAGCACGCAGCGGAAGTGTTTGAGTAGGCCACGAGGGCGCCGCAGTGCAGATCGTCCGCGCCGCCGCCGGCCGAGGATATCGTCGAGCTCCGAGGGCGCCACGGCTTTCGACTTCACGTGCAAGTGACCCGTCGCCGGAGTGACCTTTGGTGCGGGCTCACAGGTGTCACAGGGGTCCCCCGATCGCCAGGCGCGGTGCGATAGTAGATCCTTGCGCGGTGGCGTCTGGTCCCCCCGCGGCCCCCGGGAAGCCGCGCACCGGAAGCCGCTCGTACCGGGGGTCGCTTATGCGTGTAGCCGAGGTTTTGTGACCCAGCAGGCCATGGTTTGCACGCGGTGTGGCTTCTGTCATGTCTCTGCGGGTATCGTGGCCAAACGCAAGTTCGACAATGATTGTTTGTTTTGGATGGGGTAGTTAGTCATCGAGGAGGGGGAGACGAGTCTTGCGGCAGAACTTCCCCCCCCATTCCCTAGCTCTTCAATGCGAGACCGTCCCCCCGACCTCCTTCTGACAACATGCCCCCATCCTCCCTTCGACCCGGGGGGGAGGGTCTCTCCGAAAGCTTTAGGCGACCCGTCCTCCTCCTCCTCCTCCCTCTCTAAAGCTTTAGGCGACCCGTCCTGCTCCTCCTCCTCCTCCTCCTCCTCCTCCTCCTCCTCCTCCTCCTCCTCCTCCTCCTCCTCCTCCTCCTCCTCCTCCTCCTCCTCCTCCTCCTCCTCCTCCTCCTCCTCCTCCTCCTCCTCCTCCTCCTCCTCCTCCTCCAGGAGAGGAGGAGGAGGAGGAGGAGGAGGAGAGGAGGAGGAGGAGAGGAGGAGGAGGAGGAGGAGGAGGAGGAGAATGAGGAAAAGGAGGAGGAGGAGAGGAGGAGAGAGGAGGAGCAGGAGGAGGAGGAGGAGGAGGAGGAGGAGGAGGAAGGAGAAGAGGTGGAGGAGGAGGAGGAGGAGGAGGAGGAGGAGGAGGAGGAGGAGGGAGGGACAGGAAGGGAGGAGGGGGGTGGTTGAGTGGCGAGGCAGGCAGGGCCCACAGTGTGGCCCGTGTCTTCCTTCAGTGGCAGTTGCACGACTGGTCGTCCGCTCGTCGTCCGCCTCGGCTCCGTCCTCGCCTGCCCCTCCTGTCCCCGTCCCTCCTACCTTCCCTCCCCTTCCCGTCTCGCCCCCCCTGTTCTCGCTCCCTCCGCCCCTTCCCCTCTATCTCGTTCCCCCTCCCTCCTCCCCTTCCTTTCCCCTCTGCCTCCTTTCTCCCCCCCCGCGTCCCTTCCTCTCTGCCTCCTTCCCCCCTCCCTCTCCCCTTTCTAACCCTCGCCCCGTCCCGCCGTGCTCAGCGTTCCGCGCCACTCGGGCGCGCGCCCGCGCTCCAGGCGCTGAAGATGCAGCACGCCGACAAGGCCACGGCCAAGTATTCCCTGGAGGCTGCGTCCACTTGGCTCCTCCTCCATCCTCCCTGGTTCCCCATCCCTCCGCTCTACCTTCTGCGATCGGTGCGGTGTTCTCAGGTGCGAGCGGGGGTGCAAGCTGGCCCAGGCGTGCGATGGTAAACCCGCCAACCTCACCGCCGAGTATCGTCGCTCGCTCCTGCGCCGATGCAGACATCCTCACAACGTGAAGCTCTCCCTGGGAGAGGCGTGCCGCGTGCTCTTACTAAGTGAGCGGGACGCCTACTGAGAGAGAGCGTTGGACGGAACAGCGGTCGGGCGTGAGGAGGCACTTCTTAAGTCTGCCCGTCCGTTCACTTGTTTCTCTCTGACGGCTGGCTGAGGCAAAGAGTGCAAGGTTTGTTCCAGACGCAAAACCCATCCTTCCCCTCATCAAAACAACCATCATCTGGGGTCCGTTCGGGCAGACGTTGCAGCTCAGAAGTCCAGGCTTGTAGCAACTGATCAGATCACCGTTGGGCCGAAGGAGGGCAGCACCACCATCCACGGCGGCACCAGTGACAGCATCGGTGGCGCGTCAGAGAAGGCTCGGATTGAAGGAGGTGGTTCGTCCCGCGCCCCTCCCCTCGCTTGGTTTCGGGCATTGGCTTCGGGAATGAATTTCGGATTGTGGCGGGGCTCTTGCTTGGTTTCGGGAACGAGTTTCCTTCGCAAGGTGCGGAAGGAGGCAGCGATGCCGATGTTCCTGGCATGTGCATCTTCGGAGGTTGACAGGCACGCGCTGCAGAGGGCTCTGTCAGGAGGGAAACAAAGCACACAGACGCAATCAATCGTCCATTCCCAGGAAGATAACTATGGGAAAATATGGGAATGGGGGTGAGACGAGCATCTAATACATATCTGTACACGTATGGATAAATATATACACATGCGACAAGCGTGGGGAATCCTGGGATTCGTGTGTATGTTGTCTGTGTGTCCTCGGGCCCCTCAATTCTTGAGGGGCCGTGGGGCGCTCCCCTCGGTGCCCACGGAGCGGCGCTGGACGCACCTATGCAGTGCTCGTCGGTCCAGCCCGCCGTCGTGCCCGGGTCGTGGGCAGAGGCTCTGGAGGTGTCGGGAGCGGAAAAGAGGGGGGTGATGACTAGGGGGGGGGGGATTTCATGGCGCGGGCCATGATTTTTCCTCAGATTTCATGGCGCCTCTTCTTATTTTATTACGTCCCAGGCCCCCCCGCTGGGCCGCGCACATGCCGCCTGTCATGATTTGCACCCCCCCCTCTTGGACACCCCCCTCTTGGCCGCTCCCGAAGGTGCAGGGGCCCGACGGCGAAGATGCCGCACGCGTCCAGCCGAGTGACATCGGCGTCACCCCAACATGCTTCTACGATATGTGCGTCGCCCACCAGGGGCGACGCGCGCACCGAGAAATCGTGTAGTGTATGCTTCGTGGTGGGCGCTTTCTGGCCACACCGCTCGGGAAACGATGTACTACAAGGGTATACGATCTGTTCGGGTCGGACGCGCGCCTCCAAGGCAGACACATAGCATTAGTATGTCCTTGAAGTGCGTCCCATGACAGCCGGAGCTGAACCCCAGGCAGTGCCACGCGAGAGCCTCGGCGTCCATGGCCCGCCGCCTTCGGCGAGGCTCCCGGGTGGAGGCGCGCAAGGCTCGCCGCGGGCCTCGCCGAGAAGAGCGCACGCGTGCGGAGGTTTTCTGGGGGGGGGGGCCTCCTGGAAGACTCGTCTGGGCTTCTTTCGGAGGTTGATAGACCGCCTACCTTGACACGTCGATTAAGGAATTGGCCGTTTTCGGTTCGCGAGAGGGCGTCGGGACCGTCATTTTTGCGGGTCCAGGTCCGTCGGTTTCGGTCCTAGGCCGTTTTCATTGAGGGGAGGTTTACTAAAGTGAGGTTTGTGCACCGCCGATACTTGGGGGCCTCTCGAGAGGTTTCTGAGGGGGGCCTCTGGGAGGCCTCGCGGGGGGGCGGGGGGGTGGGCATGTTAGGGCAGATTGGGGGTTCCCTCTCGGTCGCTTCTTGGGGCCGTCCGGAGGGCCTCCTGGAGCCTCTTGGAGGCCACGGCGGTCGTCTTGGATTTTTCGTAGAGCCATCTTCGGGTCAGATTGGGCCGTCTAGAATTCTCTCTAGACCGGACATCGGGTAATCACTCCACTCAGTGTGTCGCGGCACGGTGGCGGATGAGTGACAGGGATGGATCAGGAGAGGGGGACAAGGAGGTCGGGAGGAGGACGAGGACGAATATTTGGAGGAGGAGGAGGAAGAGGAGGAGCAGATGGCAGTCATGATGTTAGACATGGAGCCCACTTATTTCCGCTTTGTCTTTTTTCGCCTCGGTACAGGAATTGTGGCAGTTCGTCGACGATCTGCAGGCTTGCACACGTGCGGGGCGGGTGTCATGCCGGAAATTGAAAAGTGGGAGGGGGAGAGGGTAGTGAAAGGGGAATGGGCAGCATGGAGAAGGAGGGCAGGAGGGGAGGGAGCGGAGGAGCCCCGTGGGCCACCTGAGCTATGATTTTGCTAGGGGAAATATATCCTGCCGCGGAGGAAGTGGTAACTTGGTAAGTGAGCCCGCTGTTGGGACCCACTCCAGGACGTGTGAAGAGCACATTTCGTTTGTATTGTTTTGTGTCGCATCGCTTGGGCGATCGCTCCGCGCGGCCAGGCTTGCACGGGTCGCGTTGTCTGGCATATTTGTGCCAAGCAGCCAGGGCGCGAGGAGTGCGGCCGAAATGCCATTCGCACTGGCCGCCCTCGTTTTTTGACAGGGGCTGCGTCGAGGGACGGGTCTTGGATGCCGTCTTCGCTGGGGGCACACGCACTTGACACGCATGCTACGACCGCTGGGCGAATACATATTCGGGCCCCTGCCTGCTGTTAGATATTCTCGCATCTTTCTGCGGGCCGTCGACAGGATGGTTTGTGGGACACCTAAGCCTTGTTGCAGACATGTCCACAGCTCTGTTGCGCACGGATTCTCTGGCATACTGGCATACGGGTGTGGCGTAGTTGAGCGGGCTATTACACAGATTTGCGAAGTGGTGTTTAGCGCTACGCTGGAGCTAAGGTTGGCTTTCCGCCTTCGCAACAACAATTGGAAGCGCTTGTCTTTGATGCGCCCAAAGTGGACGTTGTTTCAGGTTGCGTGTTGTACTCCACAAATGTTTCGAAAGTGATACTTGACACGCCGCAATTTTGAATGTGTGGGGTCCGTGACCCCGTATCGTCCGTTATGGAGAGTGCCCCCCGCCCGAAAAACAAACAAGAAGAACCGAACGTATGCGCAGGGTTTGCTGGCTCCCCCACAGGTACGGCGTGGTGCTCACAGGAGGAATTTTCGGATTCCAAGATCCCAATCTATTTCAGGCGCCTTCCTATTGCGAAGGCAATGCGGCCGGTGCCGCCGACCATGAAGGCGGACGTCGACGACGACGGCGGCGGTGGCGGTGGCGACGAAGACGACGTTGATGTGGGCCCGAGTCCTCAGGCATGCTTCTTGGGGTCTCTTGGGAAGGCTCTCTGGGGCCTCTGGGGAGGAATTTTGGGGTCTGGTGGGGGCCTCTTGGGAGCCTCTTGGGGGCCTTTTCGGGTGTCCTGGGGGCCTCTTGTGGGCTTCTTGGGGCCTCTTGGGAACCTCTTGGGGCTTCCTGGGAGCTTCTCGGGGCCGAGGGCTCGAAATGTCAGTTCGGGTTCCCAGTCAAGGCACGCTCGTGGAGCGGTTTTGGGGGCCTCGTGGGCCGTCTTGGAGGCGTTTTGGGAGGGCTTTGGGTTCTCTTGAGATGTTTTGGAGCGCTCTTGGAAGCCTCTTGGGACGTCTTGGGGCGATCTTGAGGGCCTCGTCGGCCGTCTTGGAGCGGTGGGCAGCGGAAAAGGCGAGAACGCCCAAATCTGCCAACACTTTAAGGGAAATCATTGATGTGTGCCTCTTGTGGCCCTCTAGGGAGTGCCTTTGGAGGCTTGTTGGGGCGTGTTGGAGGTGTCCTGGGCAGGGAGCGTTAAGGCGGTTTGGACAGATCGTTTGGCGATTGGGGGCCCTCTTGGACCGTCTCGGGGGCCTCTTCGGGCACTCGGGGCTTTATTTGGGTACTTTTTGCAGCCCTGGGATCCCCAGGGGGGGATAGGTATCTGACCCCCCCACACCACCCCAGACCCCCGACGGGGGAGGGATCAAATGGTTCTATTCGATTCGGTTACGGCATTGCCGGCTTCTTATTTCGCTGAGATGCTAGAGAAGGGGGCAGGGACAGTGAACGACGCAGACGACGATTGACGGAGACGACGATTCGAACAGACAAACCCCTCGCACACGCCGACAGGGTCGGCAGATCGTTTTCTCCTCTTCGCTCCTCTTCAGGTGGCGGGCGGAAGCCCAAACTACTCCCAACGCTTTCCTACTTCATGTTTCTACCAACTTCGTCCGACGGACGGGTATGCTCTAGAGCTCGCAAGCATGATGCGGCGTTCTCAGGCGACTTCGATGCCCCTGGAACTTCGCCGTCGCCGTCGTCGTCGTCGAATACCCACCCCTAGAGACAAGATACCCATCGATCGTTGAACGTGGGTTTTTTGTGTTCTCAGGTTCCAGCTCACTTTGGGCACCTTCCTACTTCAAGGATCGACTGGCTCTCCTTTGTTCGGTCGTCCTGAGGGTGCGGGCGGACGCTCATTCTACTTTCACACCTTCCTACTTCATGCTTCTACCCACGCCATCCGACCGACGGACGGGTACTGCTGATCTCTGGGATCGGCTCTGGGAGCTCTCGCCTCGACACTAGCTGAGCTTTGTCTCGACACGACCGAGGCTCCCGCTCGAGCGCGGGCTCGGGGACCAGTGTGTCGTGTTGGAGGCCCAGCTGCGACGACAACCACGTCCGTTCGACGCGCGCTCACTAAGTATCTACTCCGAGACGCCCTGACCACAGGGGTCCCCAGACTCGGGGGCGGCGCTGTCCCTCGAGAGTCCTCGCAGTTCCGTGAACGCGTTGGAGGCCCAAGTGCGGCGGCATCGGTTCCTGCCCAATCGTTGCTGAGAGGAGGAGGAAATGGAGGAGGAAGAGGAGGAGGAGGCGGAGGAGAAGAAGGAGGAGGATGAGGAGGAGGAGAAGAAGAAGGATGAGGACGAGGCGGAGGAAGAGGAGGAGGAGGAGGAGGACTCACGATTTACTCTGAGACGCCCCGGCCAGAGAGGTCCCCAAATTGAGTCACGGCGCTCTCGCTCGAGACAACCTCGCAATGGAGTCCAGCGTTTGGAGGCCCAACTGCGACGGCGACGGCATCGGTTCCCGCACGACCTTTGCTCACAAATTGCTCCGAGGTGCCCTGGCCAGAGAGGCCCCCAAACTCGGGAACGGCGCTCTGGCTGGAGACAGTCTCGCAATTGGGTCAAGCTGCTGGAGGCCCAACTGCGACGATCACGGCTCCCGCTCGATCTGTGCTCACAAATTATTCCGAGGCGCCTTGACCAGAGAGCCTCCCAAACTCAGGAACGGCGCTCTCGCTCGATACACCATGGCATTGGAGTCAAGTTGCTGGAGGCCCAGCTACGACGACAACGGCTCCCGCTCGATACATGGTTTCAATGTATTCCGAGGCACCCTGGCCAGAGAGGCCCCACATTGCAGGAACGGTGCTCTCGCCCGAGATTTCCTCGCAAGTCAGGCAAGCTGGGGAAGACCCAACTACGACGACAACGGTTCCGCTGGATACGCCCTCACAATATACTCCGAAGCACAGGGGCCAGAGAGGGCCCCAGACTCAGGAACGACTGGGCCCCTCGCACTTGCGTCAACACGTTGGGGTCCCAATTGCGACGATAATGGCTCCCGCCTGATATTCACAGGTCAATCCAAGACGCGCTGGCCAGAGGACCCCAAACTCAGGAATCGAGCCAAGTTCTTGGAGGCCCCATTGCGACGACAACGGCTCCCGCTCGAAACAAATACGCAATGTACTCGGAGACGACCCGATCAGATGCATTATCGCACTCAGGAATGGTGCTCTCGCCAGCGACGTCCTTATAATTCATTCGATGTTGTGACAGCCCAGTTCAGACGACAATGGCTCCCGCTCCCTCACAATTCGCTCTGAGACGCCCTAGATGCCCCAAACCTCAGGGACGGAGCTCTCCACCTAAACGCCCTTGCACTTCGTTCAAGCTTGTAAGTTGCACGCGGGCGTGTTAGCTCGCATGACGTCCATGTCGGCGCAGTGCGGTATAAATTGAGTGCATTGCGGAATTCTTCTCCCTGGAGCTAGTATGGAAAGAAACCCCTCAGAAGGGAGGCGACAATGGGGAGGGAGAAGTATGTAAAGGTCAACCAAGCTTGTCAGATCACACAAACGCAATATTGTCGTCGTCGTTGTCGTTGCCTTTGCCGCCGCCTGCCGTCGTCGTTGTCGTCGTCGTCATGTCCGCTGCCGGATCTGCTGTTACTGCTCATGTTGCTTCTATACGGTTGCTACATGCCGCGCTTGCCATATTATTGTTACCCCGCCATGGGGGTCCGCACCCCCGTAACGGACGTTCCGGGGAGAAATACAGCTCGGATTTTAGCAGCAGGGTGTCTCATGCTTGGGGTGAGCGAGAGTCGCCCGACACCGAGCGCCGCAGTCCTCGCTGTTGGTGCTTTTGCTGCTCTCCTCGTTCCTCCCGCATCGCTTCATCCTCCGCTCGCCTCCATCTGCCTCACCTCTCTCCCGCACCTTCCTTCCATCCTTCTTGCTGCTCCATCCACACCCGTCTGGAGGGTTTCTCTGAAGGGCTTAGGCGACCCGTCGTTCTACTCCTTCACTCCTACTCCTCATCATCATCCTCCTCCCTCCTCCTCCCCCTCCTCCCCCTCCTCCACCTCCTCCTCCTCACCCTCCTCCATCTCCTCCTCCCCCTCCCCCTCCTCCCCCTCCTCCTCCTCCTTCTCATCCTCCTCCTCCTCCTCCTCCTCATCCCTCTCCTCCTCCTCGGGTCGCGTACGGCCCCAGGGGAAACCGTGCACACCCGTCTCTTCCACCATCCCTTCTCCTGCTCGATGCGTCTCCTCCCTGCTCGCCGCTGCGCGGGCACGTTGGGCACAGGACATCGTCTGCCTCATCCACGATGCGCGCGGGGGCGACTATCTGCCGCATGGCCGCGCCTGGATCAAGAAGCAGGCATGCAGCCTGGTGATCTTTTTTTTGTTCATTGTTTTGCCGATCGGCGCGGGCCCTCGCGTCCCCCCCCCCCTAGAGTAGATCTTGGCTGTTTTGGGCGCCTGTTTCGGGCAGGTGAAGTCTCTCCTCGTAGGACGCACTGTTACAAACAGTCGCACTAAGCAGAGGTCCGGAGCCAGAGCCCCCCCCCCTCTCCCCCCTTCCGCCCAATGTCGAACCGCTACAAAGAATAAGTTCACCCGGAAGGAGCTGAGATGAAAAGGTCGGAGAAGGAACGCTCTGGCGGAGGAGCTGGGTGAGGAGGGCGCAGACGACGAGGTGAGGGCGGAGGGAGAGCGGGAGGCAAGCAAGGCAGTGGGAGGAGGAGTTTCCTGTTCCGGTCCGCCCTCAGCTGCCGACTTCCTTCCACGGCAATGATGATGATGATGATGATGATGATGATGATGATGATGATGATGATGATGATGATGATGATGATGATGATGATGATGATGATGATGATGGTGATGGTGATGGTGATGGTGATGGTGATGGTGATGATGATGACGATGACGATGACGATGACGATGACGATGACGATGACGATGACGATTACACACGATGACGATGATGATGATGCTGATGATGATGATGATGATGGTGATGATGATTATGTTGATGATGATGATGATGATGATGATGATGATGACGACGACGACCACGACGATGATGATGATGATGACGATGATGATGATGATGATGATGGTGGTGATGGTGATGGTGATGGTGCTGGTGATGGTGATGGTGATGGTGATGATGATGATGATGATGATGGTGATGATGATGATGGTGATGATGATGATGATGGTGGTGGAAGTGGTGATGATGATGATTACTACCTTCACGGCAATTGCTTTTTCCAGTCGGTGCAGCCTTCCTTTTGGTTGCACCCCTCGGCGCACGAACGGCACGAGCCTGCGGCCTGGCCACCCCGATGGGTGTCAGCACGCTCACCGCGAGGCCAACCCGCGCCTGCCGCTCACCATCGCGTCCTCCTCCGACAGCGTCTCGCCTCGTCCGAGAGATCCTCGTATGAGAACGTGATCGTTTTCTGATTCATTGCTTTTCCGATCGGCGCGGGACCTCGGATCCCCCCTCCCCCCTCCTGGAGTAGATGTTCGGCTGTGTTTTGGCGACTGTCTCAAGCAGGTGGAGCCTTCCCCATATGACGCACTGTTGCAAACAGTCGCACGAAGCAGAGGCCCGGAGCCAGATCCCCCCCCCTCGCCCACTGTCGAAACGCCGAAGGAGGAGGTGGAGGGGAAGGAGGTGGAATCGTAAGAAAGGGCCAGGCCATGAGATCGGGGATGCGTTTCCGCTTGGTGAGCTCCACGCCGCCGAACTGCAGAGCCGCAGCTCGGTAGCATGTGCGAGTTGTTCTGACAAAGCGAGTTCGTCGCAAAGCATTGTCCAACAAACGTGTTCATTCGGTTGTTTTCAGGGGCCACATCCCCGACCGTCTTGTGTGGTGTGTGGATCTTGCACTACGACATCCCACGGAAAACCGAGTTTGGAAAACACAGCTGGAAAACATAGCGCCAGTTATCACGCATGATTTTGCGAGCGCTCACACGCCGAGATTGGCGACGACCAGTAGACGCAACCTCAAGACAATGACGGTCTCGAGTCAGTGGTGGATAACATTCGGTAATCAATAATATACAAAGAGAGCTGAAGAACTGTTGGGATGGTCAAGTGCGGCCGTTTCCATCAACAGTCAAGCTCGTGCCACGAATAGGTTTCGCGTAGGGAAGGATCCTGATCAACATAATGAGCCAATCGGATTCACCAGTTCGATATCATCAACACAGGTCGTCAACTCGGAGTCGTTCTGACAATTCTTCAACGCCCATGGCCGTCGTCAATTCAGGCTCGCTGGACCATGCGCGAGCGTCATTTCAGGTCGCCAGTTCAGGTCTGTCAGATCAGGGTCGATTGACCTTGCGATCCGATTCTGCCGCCGAGGCCGCAGAGTTACGGGGGACCCCGGATGCGAGTGCTATTGACCAGACAGTGCTTGCGTTTGTGACCGTTTTTTATTCATTATTTTGCCGATCGGCGCGGGCCCTCGCAACCTCCCCTCTCCCCCCCCATAGAGAAGATTTTGGCTGTTTTTTGGCGCCTTTTCCGAGCGGGTGGTGTGTCCCCCAGAGGCCGCACGGTCCCAAACAGTCGCACCAAGCAGAGGTCCAGAGCCAGACCCCCCCCCCCCTGCCCCCCCCTTCTACCCAATGTCGAGACGCCGAAGGCAAAAACGTTCACCTTGGGGGCTCTTACTTGCGTCGCTGAGGAGGCAGATGGGTCCGGCGGGGATCTCCCAGGTGGCCGCCCGTGGCCGCTTCGTGCGCCGGGTGGGCCGGGCGAGGCTTCGCCACGCTGCCGCCCGTGGCCTCCTCGTGGCCGCTTCGTGCGCTGGGCGGGCCCCGCGGGAGTTCGCCACCCGCGGCCGCCTCGTGGCCGCTTCGTGCGCCGGGTGGGCCCGTCGGGAGTTCTCTTCATCTTGCCGCCTCGTGGCCGCCTCGTGCGCTGGGTGGGTCCGGAGAGGTTCCTCCACGTTCCGCCCCTGGCCGCTTCGTGCCGCCTCGTGCGCTTGGTGGTTCCGGCGAGGCTTCTCCACGTTGCTGCCTCGTGGCCGCCTCGTGGGCGCCTCGTGCTCACGGTGGCTCTGGCGAGGTTTCGTCACGTTTTCGCCCCTTCCTACTCGTGGCTGCTTCGTGCGATGTGTGGCTCTGGCGAGGTTCCGCCACGTTGCCGCCCGTGGCCTCCTCGTGGCCGCCTTTAGCTTACACCACTCAGCTCGTTCCACATGGCTTACACATCCACATTGCAACAACTTCCTGTTTAGGGTCCGCGCTGGCGAACATTCCCATGTTCCGGAAAAGCGTTGCTGGGCCACCTCCGTCTGTGCGAGGTTGCGATGCGGGCAAAGCCAGCATCCGACGCAATTTTAATTTGAGCGACATTTGTTGTCAGCACACTGCCGTGTTGACAACCCGTGCGTGCGGCCTCCACCGACGCCCCCTGGGTCGGGGCGTCCAGTAATTGGACGATCGCAGGGCAAGCACACACCCTACTGGAGGGGGGCGGGAACGCCTCGCGGGAGAGGAGGGGCGGGGCAGTCCCCACCCTTGTTCCCCAGGGTCGGGGGGTGCCAACCACCAGTATCACGTTCTCGGCACGCCTCGTCGTCATCCAGAGTCTCCAGAGTTTTCCTCCTCCTCCTCCTCCGCCTCCGCCTCCTCCTCCTCCTCCTCATCCCTCCTCCTCCTCCTCCTCCTCCTCCTCCTCCTCCTCCTCCTCCTCCTCCTCCTCCTCCTCCTCCTCCTCTGCCTCCGCCCAGGATCGATCGGCGTGCACGCCTCCGAGGGGAGGCAGGAAGGGAGGGCTCCGCCGCACCTTGGGCCCAGGGATCGGCCCGGCCAGGATCGCTGCAGGCTGGTGCACAGTCGACCCGCGCACGTAGTATCAAGTCGGGCTTGTCCCTCGACAGGAGATATTCAAAAATAATTTAGAAATCGTCGGTGGACTATTCTTGTTTATGTTTGGCCATGATTGTTGACCATTTTTGTGAACATGTTTGGGGCTATTTCTAATTGTTCCGCCAGAATTCGCCTGTAGGGGGACATGCCCGACCCAATAACTAGTAAGGATGAGCGACTTTCCGAGGGTGCCATTGCCTCCTTCCCCTTCGGCCCATCCGTTTCCGCTTTCGCTGGCCGCGCCCCGCTCGCAGAGTGTCGACATGGCCTTCCAAGGCCCTCGCATCCTTCTCGTCGGCGGCGAGCCCAGAGGGGGAAGCGAAAAGGGGCGGGCCTTCTCAGGGTCCAGATGTCCCCCCGGCCTTCTGAGAAGTTTTCGAAGCTTTCCCTGAGGACGCAAGACTCTCCTCGGGAGGCGCGCGGACTTCTGGGAAGTCCTGCCGCCGTCCGAGAAGGCCCTCTCCTCGCCCTTCCCCTGGGCGCGCCGTCATACCTCGGGTCCCTGGGGGCCGTTCGGGACGATCCTGGCACCCCCGGAACGCTCTCGGCGGGGCGCAGGCGCTGGAACGCATCCCGAGGCAAGACAACCGCCGAGAACCGACGAACACGGCCGAGGCCTTCGAACCTCTCGCTCGCCGCCGATGCCGTGCGTCCTTACAGGGGCTGACCGTATCGTCTGCGCCGTTGGGCGAGGCGGGCGGCCCGAGCCCGCACTTCCGGGGGGGGCCGCCCGCCTCGCACGGGAGAGGTCGCTCCGAGGCGCGGCGCCTCCCAGGAGGCGGCACGGCCTCCTCCTCCTCCTTCTCCTCCTCCTCCTCCTCCTCCTCCTCCTCCTCCTCCTCCTCCTCCTCCTCCTCCTCCCTCCTCCTCCTCCTCCTCCTCCTCCTCTCCTCCTCCTCCTCCTCCCTCCTCCTCCTCCTCCTCTCCCCCTCCTCCTCCTCCCTCCTCCTCCTCCTCCTCCTCCTCCTCCTCCTCTCCTCCTCCTCCTCCTCCTCCTCCCCCTCCGTAGCCATTTTGGCTCGAGATGCTTGCACCTGGGGGGCTCCGCGCCTCCGTGCTTGAAGGGATGCCGCTCGTCCGCGGCAGTCCTCCAGTTGCTTCTGGGGTCCCGCGGGCTCCGAGGGATCAGCAGCCCACGCGGGGGTCCTCGGTGCGCCGTGCGGCTTGGCGAGCCCCTCCTGTGTCGCAAGGGAGGAGGAGGAGGAGGAGGAGGAGGAGGAGGAGGAGGAGGAGGAGGAGGAGGATGGAGAGCCCCAGAAGTGGCACTGCAAGACCTGCCGCCGCCCGAAGTCTGGCCAGCCCTTTTCTCAACTTCGCGGAGAACAGGAAGTGCTTCAGCTGCGGCCTCGCGAAGGATTGTCTGCTTCGGAGGCAACGCCGCTCCAGCCGTGCCGTCCAAGCGGGCGCCCTGGCTCAAGAAGTCGGAGCCCGCGGGCGCCTCGGCAGGGGATGGAGGTCTCGTCGCCAAGTACCAGGCGCATG